AGTAGGTTTCCAGAACACAGGATATTATTAAGCTCAATGAAGATGTGGGCAATTACCAAGCTAAAAATAGTTCCACAAAATGGTAGGAGTTAGACAATTAGGTGTAAGAACAATAACATAAGTTTCACTATATCAAGGGGGAAAAAATCAACAGAGTCAATGAACCTTGTGCTTCATGAAAGTCAGGAGAAAATCTTGCTCCTCTAACACCTCCCCATCAAACAACTGGAAGAGTTGAAAGCATTGGGGACTTCTGGTTTCTACTCGAATGCAGCCAGCAGTGACTGCTGTCGTGAAATCCAGCTAGATGCTTCACCCTGTTCCAGCATAGAAATTCCACTCTTGTGGAATAAAGAGAAAGCAGCTGGACAGTCATTCAGATCAGAGTGACCAGCTGCTTCGCCAGCTCCACATCACCTTAGGTAAGCTTTTATCGTCCCCAGACCTTGGGGTTTCAGAGTTCTTAGAGCACTAGCATTGGGGTTGTACCACTGATGCTGAAAGAAGAGCCTACAATGCATATGTCAGTGCTTGGGATAGTGTCACTTTACAGGGAATGGGGAACAAGCCAAGCTGTGGGGAGTTTCCTGAAGTAACTTCTCTTAGCCATGAGTTTCTTCCTCCCTTAGATTCATAGATTGTAAGGCCAGAAGGGACCTCAGAAGATCATCCAGCCCTCTGCAACAGGCAGGAAAGACAACTGGGGTCAAGTGACCCCAGCAAGGTGACCATCCAGTCTCCTCTTGAAGTTTTCCAGGGTAGGTGATTGCACCACCTCTGGAGGGAGCTTACTCCACAGTCTGGACACCCTGGCTGTGAAGAATTTTTTTCTAATGTTGAGTCTGAAACGGTCTTCCAGGAATTTGAGGCCAGTATTCCTGGTTTGCCCCAAGGGTGCTCTGGTGAACAGTTGTTCACCAAGCCCTTGATGTATTTGCCTAATGTAGTGGTAAGCTGCTACGAAGTCCCCTCTCAGCCTTCTCTTTTTCAGGCTGAAGAGTCCCAGGTCCCTCAGTCTTTCACAGCCACCAATCCTCTGTCCTGTGATCTTGCTCCCATTAGACACAGGGGCAGAAGTAGCACTCACTGGTGGAATGAAAGGAAGGCACAGCAGCAAAATACCCAACAAGTGACTGGTACAGTAGGGACCTAGTGCTAGGAAGCCCTCAAAGCAATACTAGTACCACAGGCAGTTACCACTGGAGCAGGGCACACAAGATCATATACCCACTTTACTATGAACGGTGCCTCCCTGAAGACAGGCAGGAAGATCTCCTGGGAGTGAGCACACAGAGACTGCAAGCAACATATGTACTCAGCAAAGGGTTTAGTAAATCTGCAAGCCCCAAGTTATAGCTGGAAAGCATCAGCCAGTGTGAACATATGTAGGATAAGATTTCAGGCAGATGAAACACTTGAGCTAATGGAAAATTCTCTCTCTAGAAAGGGGTCCAGATGAAAGGGTGCGAATAAATACATTTTAGCTGAGAGCCTAGTTCTGTTTCTGCTCCATTGTGGTACAGAGCCAATTTTGGGGTGGGGAGGGAAAGGTCATATGCTATAGAAGAGTCTCAGCTTGTACAGGTTTCATCCTGACAGGCTGAAGGTTCAGAAGTGGCTTGCATTAATTACACTTCCTTACTCTTAGCACAACATTCTCTCTTTCCTGGCCCCTCACTGTGAAAATTGAGTCGCTTAGACCCAGAACCACCTGGAACTTGCACTGCCTTGCACCCCCTTCTGAAACAGTCAGGTATGCAGACAGACTCCATTATCAATAGTTAAGATGTCCCTTTTCACTTAGCAGGAAAAAACAATCCCCCAAAGAACAACTAAAGCTGGGGTAAACTTAGTCTGTGCAGTTGTATCTATTAATATGAAGGTTGAGTCTGGATTCCAGAATCCAATATATAGATCTCAAAGGAGTTTCAGCACAGAAGGGTCTTTGAGGTTAACAAAAGAATTAAACACAGCCCCTGTGTAACTAAGAAGAACGTTTCTACAACGAAATTCTTAGTACCAGCCCTCACATAGAAACATGATTGCAACAAAATTAGAAAAAGCATATAACTGTGATTGCCCTCAAGGCTCACCCAGACAAGCACTGTTCCCTCCAATACAGCCTTTGGACAATAAGCCTCGCCAATCCTAGACAGTAGTGACCTTTTCTTCCTGGAAACTGGTAACAGTTTCTTCATGAGCTGGGTTGGACAGGGATAGTGGGGAATTGACCTGGAACACAGAGTAAGTTCATGAGCTCTGCACGGTAATTTTGAAAAGCTGCCCAACAACTCTGGCAGGAGGTTGTGATCTTCCAGTCACACATCAGTTTATAAGGAACATCTGCCTGCTTGCTGTACTATCTTCCCAGCTCTGGATAGAGCTGTCAAGCAGCTGTTAGAACATCTGGGATCAACAGAGCTCTGGAAGACGCTGATAACAATTGATAAGAGAGTTCTCTTGTTCCCTTTGCAAGTTTTGCAACTTTTTTCACTCCTTCATGGTGAACAAGGGTATGAATAGGTCCTTATTTCACCTGTTTGTTCTCTATACCTCCAAAAATAGGTTTTAAAATTACACATTCAAGTTTTGTCTGCCCCTAAAGACTGCATAGTGACTAAAGGACTGTTAAAATTCTGATGAGAGTAAAACTTGAGCAAATGAGAGAGAAAAGGCTCACAATAAACCTTCTTTTCTGTTTTTTTTTAAATATCTTTTAACTGCAATCCCTAAAGAACATTTAGAAGAAATGATGGCTATTCAAAATTCACAACACAAACCTTCAAGGCTTTAAAAAAGGGCACACACTCCTTATATCAACTAACAACATTTGTACTTCACTTTAAAAGCACCCCTCCTTTTGGAAGTCACAGTTATCCATTCTATGCAGCAAAGACTTTACGAAAACCTTTGTATCTATGTGCTGCATTAGCATTATAAGATCACTTCCATAAGAAGTCATTGCCAAGACTGTGCTGTTCTATTGTTCTTCCTTCTTTGGACCTCTGCCAGTTAAAAAGTTTCAAGGTACGTTCAACAAGTATATCAAATCATTAACAAAATAGTTGAGCCATGAAAGTTCAAGAAAGTTTGTACGCATTAATAAAATTAAGTTCTAAGTAGTACACCTGTTAAACTTGGTAGCCCACTAGTAAGATAAAATAGACTACAAAGAACTTTATCAGTCAGTACATCTTGCCTTCATTTTTCCCCACAGCCAAGTCCTTCCATAAAACAATTATCTTGACTACATTAGGACCTGTACAAGCACTGGACCAGATCCTGTTCTCTTTAATCACGCCAAATATTAACATTATGCCCTAAGAAATTCTAATGACTCCAATGGAACTAAGCACTGAGTAAATACCACTCCATATCTAAAGCTGCATCAGCTTCATTAAGACGGTTCCATTAAGCAACTAATATTTGCCTGTTCTTTGAGGAGTCACCTTAGATAGATTTTGCCCTACACAATTGGCTTTGATCACCAAGTAAACTACCCAGTACTTTTTTGTTTGCCATTATTACTACATACATTTCTAACTTGGCTATCACTTAACTTATGCATGCTTAGCTCATATTCCCTTTATTTTTAGCTTATATTGATGTGTTGAACTGCTTAATATGAAAACATAACCCCATCCTTTGAATGCCGCTTATTTTAAAACCTCAAGTGGCTCATAGCCACATTTTTTTCCAAAGAATAAGCTCAACTTCTTTAACTTTTCCTTGCAATTTAGACTCCTCAGACATAGTGGCCTTTTTTTTTTTTTTTTTAATATTGACATATGGTCTGCAGTGGCCAAACCTGGCAGTCCTTACTCAGACAACACTCCCAATGTAGCCCTAAAACTATCCCTTTTCCACTGCACTGTATGACTTATGCAGTATGTTGTTCTCCAGATGGAATCTAACCCGGCTTCATCACCACCCATTTGTCATCTCTTTTGCTGATTTTAGTTCACTTGTCCAAATGAACAGCTCCATATTTTTAATGGTTTTTTTCTTTGCCTGTGTGCTCTGTGAACATACCTCTCCACACAGTATTCCCTAACTGGATCCCATTTCTATGTGTTTCAATCCTGACCTGCTTTTGGCATTCTCTGTCCTAGTTCCCAAGACAAGGCAAACCCTTTAGCACTTGAGTGTTTTACTCCTTACTGTTTCCTCAGCCCAAGTCTGAAAAATCCTGGGAAAGCAGAGCCAGAGAGAGACCAGCACTGAAACCTCAAATTAAGTCCCTTGCATATTTGAGGGAAGACTTGAATCTAAACCTTCAACATCTGATGCTGTCTGTATGGTTTTGGTTCCATGCCAATTCAGGAGAGGTCTCTCCACGTGCTGGCAGTATGTTACAAAAGCAGCCCCTCACAAAAATTTGGCTCAAAATGGCGGGTACCTTAGCAGAACAACATGTCATGAAATGGGTACCATTCAAAATGGCAGGCAGGTTGCATGACCATCAAGGCTTGCCAGGGATCCACCACCAAATTCAAACCCAAGAGCTGACTGATCTTGAGCCCGAATCCTCAACATTTAATCCAAATGAGGCACTGCTTCCTTGCCCTGTCTCCATTTAGTACCCATCTTTGCTTCAAGACCAAGTTTACTTTGTGCTCAGTCAATCCTTCTTGCTGTCCACTGGAATAGTATAAACCTCACATCGACATCTAAATTAATAAAAACAATGATCTAAACAAAGATGGGGACAGCAGCCCCAGCTATCCCCACCTTATCTCCACCAGCATTTTCACTATATTTACTTCCATTTATAAATGCCATGTCAGCAACACCTGACCCCAGAGACAGATGCAGAGAACGTAAATGTAGTTTAAGACCTTCAAACAGCTCCCCTTGCCTTACTAATAAAGTGCATATTGCACTCCTGTCCAGTAACAAAAGGGTTAAAACTGATCTAGCACAGAGTGCTGGACAGGCGTCAAGGTGGTTGCTGTATCACTACATTATCAGTGGGGGGAATACAGAGAAGAGAACCGACTGCTACACAGAACGCTTCCTCCCCATGCGGCTGCCGCAATGAACACAAGGAAAGGTAAGGGGCAGAAACTTTCCACAGCCCTCCAGTAGTGTCTCCTCAGGGGCAGCTTGGATCTACACCCGAGTAGCAAAGCAATCCCACATGAAAGGGCAGGTAAATAGTTTTAAGCTCTCATAAAACGTTTCAATTTGTTCTGCCCTGTAACTTCCTTTGGCCATTTCTGCTGTTAAAAATGTTCAGGCTTTATTATGCACCCTGCATTACCTGAAAGAACTCTCTCAATTCCCTGCACAGTGCTCATCCCTGCTAAACTAATAACTTCATAGTTGCAGGAATGGTTTGATTTTTTTGCATAAAGACCTTCTGAATACTGAAGCAAGGATAATCGTGTTGGATTTTCTCCACTTTGTGATCCAAGTGATTCTTGAGGCTGGGAGGAGGGGGGCAGGGTGTGTCTGCTGCTATCTTTAAAAAAGGGAAAAAAGCTGCTGACTTATGCAGTGAAAATATAAATGCTGGGACGAGGGGATCCTGGATATGTGGGAGCACTGGACTGTTATGGTTGGAGACACACAAGACTTGTGAGCAAACTGAAAAAAGGAATTGCATGTTACAAGGTGTGGGAGCTGAGAGAATAAAAAAGAAATATCCCTCCAAGACCCAATTGCAGGCTTTCAAAAATACAGGTGAGGCACATAAAACATGTATTATTAACCCTAGCAGATAGACACTACACGTAAGTACCAGAAACACCATACGTTAGATATATGAGACAGAAAAATACTATAGCAACGGGCATGTTAGAAAGACATAGGTATGGACAATCCAAACCATGTAGAGTCTGATCTTCACTCCCCATTACTTACTCAATTTATTCTGGGGAGAGAGTCTCGCCAGGCAGACTCTGTTGTCACATTACGAGACGTTTGGAGATTTGATCCTGGTTTCCCCCACCCCATCTCAGTCCAAGGGATAGCTGGCACTCTTCTGTGAAACCTAAGCATCAGCCCCAGTATGTAGAACCAACATGCGTCATGTCGGGGAAGGCAGGACCAGATGCATTGGCTGCCATTAAAATGCTGGTCATAGGTCATTTGCAAGTAAATTGCAGTTGCCAGTTAGTTATATGTGGTAGGCACTATTATAGCTTAATAGAAGTACAATAATGTTCACTGCTTGCAAGTGGCAATAGTAACAATTAATGATATCTGTAGTCACTCTACACAGAAATCGTAAGAAAATGAGAAGGTACTATTCCATTCTAAATAGCATGGCTATTTCTGATTTCTCAGTCAGATTGCTTTAGTCCCTTCTCCAAATAAACTGAATGTGGGAAGAGGAAGTGTGGCATTGCAGGACATGCCTGCTGAGTTATGGAAAGACCTATTGAAAAGCAAAGGATTGATATGACAGGTAGATGGCTGGTTCTCCCTACATGCATAAAAGTGTTTGAAAGTACAAAGTCAAAAGGTTCTGACATGCACCTTGAGAAAGACAGCAGCCTTTCCTGGTCTTAAACTAGAGCACTTTGGCACAGGAGTGCAACAGAACACATGAAATCACAACTATTCCTCCAGGTCCTGCATTCCCAGGACTTAAAAACAATGGTACACCTCCACCCCGTGCTTTACTATTCTTGCCTCCTGTAGAAATAGAGTTAAACAAACTAATTTGTCCAAATTTCAAATCCAGTTAAACATCAAGGGTTTGAATACCTGAATGGAATATCAGCAGTGCCTGCCAAAGTAAGGGATGGAGAAACAATATTTCTAATTAAGGCAACATCCAAATGCTATCCTACTTCTCTACCTACTTACAGAGGACATCCTACAGGGTGCAAAGATTTCCTTCCCTAACTCTAACCCTACTTACTGAAGAGCATCAGGACAGCATTTGGAAGTATCTACTGACCCTACTACGCAGCATACTGTTGCCATGTGTTAGTGGTATAGTTTATTGAATTTCCTTGTGAAGAGGAAGTGGCAAGTTATAACTTAAACAACTTGTGCTGTTCTCTAAATCACTAGCTCCAAGACACTCACCCATCTCTGCTCATAATGAGAATGCCAGGGTTCATACTTACAGCCAGATTTTAAAGCTGAGTGAAGTCCCTCTAAAGAGATTGCTTACTAAAAGAAATGACCTAACTTTCATACTTTGTGGCTGTGATGCTATAACATAACGTGGACAATCTCCCTTATTTTTTGCTTTCCACACTGACTTATTTTTTCCTCACGGACAATTAAGTGTTAACCATGTGCCTGGTGTGAGCAACTTCATCAAGAACTGCACCATATAAGAGAAGCCACAAAATTGAATTTGCAATGAAATGCTCAGCAGCGGCTAGTTAATATTCTTTGGGTGGAACTGCTCAAAGTGATGTCAGTAGATGGGTGTCCACTGACACCAGGTATGAACTTAACCCTTTTCCTTGTATGAGCCCTTTTCCTTGTATGAGTACTGCCTTCCATGTTGGCACAGCCATTTCCTCCTGAAAATGTAGTGGCTATAATTAATAAAGATCTTGTTTCTCTTTACCAAATCAGGTGTCCTTCAAAAGAAAAGAAATCTGAGCTGCCCCATGGAGGGGGATGCTCACTAGCCACCCTCAGTGTCCTAGGGTTGCAGTAAAGCAGGCTGCTTTACGAGTATAATAAATTTACTAGAACCAGCCAGCCACCCCCTTGCCAGACAGCTAAGTTTAGTCAGACCTGCATTTGGTCATGTGGTCAGTAAGAGAGAGGGTACCACAAGTCAAGACAAAGACGGGTTGACAGGACCATTTGGGGGTCCAGGGATAGTAACGATTAATATGCCTTGGCAGACATACCTGAAACAGAATACCGAGAGGTGATGAATTCAAAATCTTCTCAGTGGAGGATGAGAACCACTGGCAGTATCAGTCTTCTATTGGCTGATCAGAGCAGATGCATTGCCCAAGTTCTAGGAGGAGCCATGTTCTGTTCTCTCTGAGCCTTCACCTGGGAGCAGCTGGTACAGCCCTAACTACATTTTTTAACATCAACAGTCCTCCAAGAACTGCTCTTGGGGCAGAATCCTGTATTGTTTAAAGGTCCCATTGTGTATGGGGAGGAAACTAGCCAAGTAGTCTGATCTTGGGTTGGTACTCTTGAGTTAGGATCTTGTCCATATCTTCAGGAAGCAACACTAACCAAACATAAAAAAAATCTCATCCAGCCACTGCAGCAATCCCACACTTGTCGAGTTGAAGAGCCTATTCACTCAAACAATAACAGAATAGAAATAGATACAGAGGGAGGGAAATGCACAATCAGATTGATAAGCATGTGAGAGACTGGGCATGCTTGCAAACCTGCATTTCTTGCCTTGCACACAAAAAATATCACTTCTTAGTTTAAAACAGTGAATCCAATTCACTGTTGCCCTGTGCCATCATTTACACCAGTACAGAATGGGTGCAAAAGATATTGACACTGATGTAGACAGAGATGAAAGTCACAGGCTCCTTTAGAAATATCCAGTTACAGGTATGTGAATAGAAAGAATGAAAATGAGCCAATCTAAAGTCCGTCATACCCTAAGCCTGTGCTTACCGAAATAAATGGCAAAGTTCTCAGTGGGATCAGCAAGACCAGGAGCACCCCCAGGAAACATTACAGGCATTTTAGAAAGCCAGTGACAAACCACAGATGCTCTGTTCTCCATGTTACAGCCTTCCACATTGTGCCTGTCAATGTACAGCAGCATCCAGACGTTTTGTAACCAGGTGGTTCACAACCTGCTTCATTTGGAATAAGTTGCTGAATGAAGGACAAGGTACTCAGATGTTTCCTATGGCTTTTACTTCAAAGGGTGTCACTTCTCCAACCCACTGGAGCACCCCAACAGCCCCACACAGCTGTTTGTTTTGTTACCTTTGCAGTGGGCGAATGAACCCATGTGGGTTCTACTGGTTGTATAAGTCCATCAAGTGTATCACATCCCATTGTCACAGCATTGTCTGTTCTTGCTGTACTTTGTCAGCTAACCATTCCCATGTTTTATCTTATCCTTCAGAAGGCCCTGGCCTCTTATTACTTTTGGGCTTGGCACTGGCAGCGGGATTGTCCCAGTCCCCTGAAGGAGAATCGCCCAAAGAGCAGCCTGATTCAGAGCTCCTAAAATGCCCCAGCTTGTGCGCTTGCAGCTACGACTACTACAGTGAGGAGCTCAATGTCTTCTGCAGCTCCCGGAACCTCACCCATCTTCCAGAAGAGGTGCCCATCAATGTTAGGGCACTGTGGCTGGATGGCAACAATTTCACTTCTCTGCCAGCTGCAGCCTTCAAGAATCTTTCCAACTTGGATTTCCTTGAGCTGCAGAACAGCCAGCTGGTAAGCATTGAGCAGCATGCCTTCCATGGGCTAAGAAGTCTCTACCATTTGCACCTGGAACGCAACAGGCTGAAGTATTTGGCACCCAATACTTTTCTTCACACACAGAATCTAGGCTCCCTGAGCCTCAACAACAACCACTTCACCAAAATTGAGGAAGGCCTTTTTGCTGGGCTCTCCAACCTCTGGTACCTGAACCTGGGCTGGAACTCGCTTGTGGTCTTACCTGACAGAGTGTTCCATGACCTGCCTAACTTGAGGGAGCTTGTCCTGGCTGGAAACAAGCTGGCCTACCTACAGCATCAGCTCTTCTGCAGCCTTAATGAACTGAAGGAACTGGACTTGAGTGGGAACTCACTGAAAGGTGTCAAAATTAACATCTTTGTCAAGCTTCAGAAGCTGCAGAAGCTCTACCTGAATCACAACCAGATCAATGCTATTGCCCCTCGAGCTTTTATGGGGATGAAGGCCCTGAGGTGGCTGGACCTGTCTCACAATCGTCTGGTCTCACTATTTGAAGAAACATTCCTGGGCCTTTTGAGCCTGCATGTTTTACGTTTATCTAGTAATTCAATCACCAGCCTGAGACCAAGGACTTTCAAAGATCTCCAGTTCCTGGAAGAGCTGCAGCTGGGTCATAACAGGATCAAAAACCTGGCAGAAAGGACTTTTGATGGGCTGGGCCAACTGGAGGTTCTTACACTGAACAATAACCAGATCCAAGACATCAGGGTCGGTGCATTCCTTGGCCTCCACAATGTAGCGGTGATGAATCTGTCTGGTAACTGCATCAAGGCTCTTCCAGATTACGTCTTTAAGGGACTAATCAAGCTGCATAGTCTTCATTTAGAAAACAGCTGTCTCAGCCGAATCAAGGCACAAACTTTCTCCAGCCTTTCCAGCCTTCGGAGGCTCTTCTTGCAACACAACAGCATCTCTGCCATTGAGGACCACAGTTTGAATGACCTGCATGAGCTTTTGGAGCTGGACCTTAAACACAACAAGCTGACAAGTCTCTCCCCCAGGTTGTTCACAGGCCTGATTAACCTGGAATATCTCCTCCTCTCCTCCAACCAGCTTCTGGAAATCACCCCTGAAGCTTTCAGCTTGCTTCAGCGCCTCTCTTGGCTTGACCTCTCCAACAACTTTTTGGAGACGGTGAACAGCAGTGTAACAGCCCCCTTATCAAACCTGCGATATCTTAGCCTCAGAAACAATTCCTTGGAAAACTTCTCAGTTGATTTTCTGGGCTCTTCACCTGTAATGGAGCAGCTATGGCTGGAAGGAAACAAGTGGCACTGTAATTGCTCACTGAAGCAACTGCGAGACTTCTCCTTGCAGCACCCCACAGTGGTCCCACGTTTTGTTCAGTACATTGTGGAAAGGGATGATTCCCACATACCCATATATACATACAACAACCTCACCTGCCTGAGCCCACCAGAGGTCATGGGACTTGACCTGCGGGACATCAGTGATGATCACTTTGCTCACTGCTAATAGGTGAGCCTAATTTTGGAGGACCTTTTGATTTCTGTAGATGGCGGCTTTAAATACCTATGTCCACATATTCAGGTAGCACCTACCATACTGGGATCTTTTTAGGGCCTAAGAAAGCAGTTATCTGACATCTGTTTCCCTTCTTGCACTCACCTCCATGCTTAGCTCACTAGGACCACTGTCCAAGGTATACCAGCATTCACCAGCCCCTCGAGCTGAGTGTGATTTCTCAGCAGTCTTTAGCTTCCTTTTTTCCATGCTGTACCAAACATAGATGTTTATAACTGCAATTTTAAACAGAATCAATGTGCAGCCTTTGGCATCAAGTAAATGGTGTAACCAGGTTCTTTGGACTTTGCAATTACATTTGGGTTGTTTTGGATTTAGCCTTGTGGTTTGGAGTCTGTGTTTCTCAGTCCAGTGCAGGAAAGCAAGAGGAAGAATGGGATGTGCAAAGCTAAGTGGGGAGGGGAGACTTTTCTTGTGATTGTGGAACTGGAAAAGACAATTAAAGTTCATTTTAAACAACCCTAGAAAACAAGGTTAGTACAATAATTCAGAGGCCAACCAGGCTGTCTGGTACCTACAGAGATTCAGTGATTGGGTCCTCACTCCCAATTTGGGAGCCACATACAGGCAGCATAGTTTATCATCACAGACTAAGAAACACCTTGTAGCAGTGACTAGCAACCATTCCCAGTTGGTGAAGGTTCTGTCATCCAGCAATGCAGCATGGAGGAAAACCACTGTAGCAGAAAAGCCTCTGAGGACCCTGGGGGTTTAGAGAAAAAGGAACAGGGGAACAAGGACCTTGAGAGGGAGAGAAGAATAAGTTTGAGCGCAATGCTTGTAAATTAGGAGACTGACAAGTTAAGCACTATTCCCTCATGAAGCAACCCAGCTGTGACTATGCACTTCAAGAAGGTGCTGTGGAGGGTTTCATCCTAGCTGAGCTGTAGCAGCCCCTGTGACAATGCTAAAGAGGTGTGGAGACCTCACCCGTTTCACCCAGCTCTGAGCTTTTTTCCCCAAAACTTCTAATATAATAAAGCCTTAGTCTGATCATCTGTAACACTTTATTCACTCTCTGACTGGTTGTCTCGGCAGTCCATCACAACGCTGACTGAAACAACCAGAGTGCTCCAAGAGTGCTCTGGAGAGGAGGCAGTGGTGGCGGTGCGCCGCCATGACACCAGACACGGAGTGGGGGAGCAAGGCCAGCGCTGCTGGCCTGGCCCTCCCCTCCTTGGTCCTGCTCCCTGGAGGCAGCGGCATGGGGTGCTGGCTGAGGGGGATGGAGGGGATAGCGGGGCAAGCCTCTCTCCCCCTTCCCCTGCTCCTGGGAGGCGGTGGCAGCGGCATGGGGTGGTGGCACTCCATCCTCGCTCCTCCCCCATCATTCCTGATGGGCAGTTGGATAGTAGGCCTGTGCAAAGCAGCTAGTAATTGCTTCGGATTCAGATTCAGCCGATTCAGGGGACAGCGATTCGATTTGGTGATTCAAATCACTGTCCCAATTCAATTCGGCCGAATCTCTGAATCGGCCAGGCCCATCCCCCACCCCAGCAATGGCAGCCCCGCCCACCCCTGCTCTGGCACTCGTTAAAAAAAAAGCACGGCCTCAGCGGGTGCTGCCGAGCAGGAGGGGCGATTCCCGCTGTTCCACACTGCCCCCCACGGCATGGGGGGCTTTTAAGGAAAACAAAAACCCCAGACTCACTGTCCTGCTGGTAGGGGCGATCCTCAGTGCCCCACACCACATGGGGGGCTCTACACGAGCCCTCTGAAGCCCCAAGGCTGCTGCAGGAGTGGTGAGTCCCGGTTCTTTTTTTTTTAGAGTACTGGGAGCTGGAGCGGGCAGGGGGAGCCATGATGGGGCTGGGGGAGGGGGGAGCTGACAGGGGTCTCCTCATGGTCCCCTCCTCCAGCCCCCCTTCCCTGCCCCTAGTACTTACCAGCTCAGAGTCAGCTGCACCTCCCTGCTGCAGCCACCAGGGACTGCCCGAATCATCAAACCTCTCAATCTTTTCAGAAGATTCAGAGAGCTTTGAATTGATTCGGACCTTTAAATTGGTCCCCTGATTCAATCTGGATTCAGAGATTTGGCCACCGAATTGGGCCGAATCTCCTCCGAATCGAATTACCACTCAAAGCTTCGCACAGCTCTATTCGCTAGTCTAGCATAGTAGGACCCTGATTCATGATGCAGGCACAACCGCAGCAGAAGTAAGTAATGAAGGGAAGATGATTGTGTCCCTAAACCTGAGGCTGGGGAACCATGATTTACAGGGGTGGAAAGGCCAACCCTCATGTACAACTACTAAGGGGTGGAGGCAGATTTACTACAAAGCTTAGGAAAAGGGCCTAAGAACAAAACAAAACAGATTCCCTGCTGTAGGTTGGGAAGTGTAGCGTGCAGAGGACCTGCTCCCACTTCTACTTCCTTGCAGAAGCAGATTTAGGCAGGTTTAAAAAAAAAAAATGCATCTCACCTGCCTGATAAATCATAGCAGGCAAATAAACCTTTGGAGCTATTGCAACTCATCTTGCAAGGGCACTTTTTAAAGCTTGTGTCGCTTGTGTTTAAAGCTTATCCAAGGCTAAATAGGCTTATGCACAGCAGCATACTTTAAAACTAAGCAGCACTGGCACTGCTGTATTCCTCCTAGCTTGCAAATATCCATCAGGCACAAAGCAAGTGCCTTGTAGGGAGAAATTTCATAGGTTTTATAGACATTAGGGATGGAAGGGACCTCACGAGATCATCGGGATAAAAGGGCAGGAAGTCAGCTGGGTCAGATCACCCAGCAAAATAAAAATCCAAACGCTTCTTGAATGTGTCCAGAGTAGGTGCTTGCACCACTTCTGGGAGTCTATTCCAGACTCTGGAGACTCGGATGGTAAAGAAATTCTTTCTTATGTCTAATCTAAACCAGTCCTCCAGCAGTTTGTGACCTTTAGACCTTGTCTTCCCTTTGGGTGCCCTGGTGAACAGACATTCTGCCAGATCCTGATGCACACCACTTATGTACTTATAGGCTGCTACCAAATCCCCCGAGCCTACACTTCTCCAGGCCAAAGACTCTTATGCCTCTCAGCCTCTCCTCATAATGCCTGCTCTCTTGACCTCTGATCATGTGCGTGGCTCTCCTCTGGACTCTCTCAAGCTTCTCCACATCCTTTTTGAAGTGTGGAGCTCAGAATTGGATGCAGTACTCCAGCTTTGGCCTCACCAAGGCCAAATAAAGTAGGAGGATGACCTCTTGGGTCTTGCTTGAGACGCATCAGTAGATGCAAGCCAAGGCTTTATTTCCTTTGCTGGCTGTGACATTGCATTGGTGGCTCATATTCATCTTATGGTCAATCATGACCCCCAAGTCTCTTTCAGTCATAGTGCTAGTGAGTGTAGCACTGTAGAGCATATAGGTATGATGTGCGCCCCCCTCCCAAGGTAAAGCACCTTGCATTTCTCTGTGTTGACTGTCTTCAGGTTTTGATCTGCCCACCTTGTAAGCCTGTCTAGGTTGGCCTGAATCCCCGCCCTATCCTCTAGAGCTCGGTTCGGCAACATTTTTGGGCAGAGTGCCAAAAACACCTGCAACTTTGACTTGTAAGATGTTGGAGTGCCAGGGGCAGGCAGCAGGGGAGCTGCAAAGAGCCCAGTCCTTGTTGTGGAGCCCCCTTCTCCACCATCCACCCTGAGGCACATGTGCCAAGCAAAATGCCTTTGCGTGCCATCCTCTGGCACCTGTTCTGGGGGTTGCCTACCCCTGCTCTAGAGTGATTGTGCTTCCCCATAATTTGGTGTTGTCTGCAAACTTAGCCAGTCCACTTCTGACACCCAAATCCAGATTGTTTAGGAATATATTAAAGAGTACTGGTCTGAGAACTGAAACCTGAGGACATCATGGGAAACCAAGTCAAAGGCTTTTTTGAAATCCAAGTAAATGATGTCAGCCTCTCCTTTGCTGTCCAGGTGACGTGTCACCTGGTCATAGAAAGAAATTAAGTTGCTCAGGCACATCCTACCTTTAACAAAATTGCTTAGCAACTTCATTTTCCAAGTTTGCTAGGTGGATTTTCCAAAGCTCCACAGGTGATTTTGGAGCACAAATCCCATTGATTGTCAGTAGTACTTTGATCCAAAGTCAAATGAAACATTTCTGAAAGTCCTACACTAAGTGCTGAGGTGAGAGGTCAGATTCTGCTCCTACTGAACGTCATAAGAATTCTGCAATAAATATCCTTAGAAAGGCAAGACCATCCCCTTCCAGAAATGCACTGATTTGGGATGGAGCTCTCCAGGCAGACCAAATATGACTTGTATTGCATACAGGAAGGACTAATAAAAGATCTGTAATCATCTCAGTGAACCAAGAATGCAAGAATACTTGACTAGTTCAGTGGCTTTCAACTTTTTAAAAATCAAAGCACTCTTTGGAAAATGTTGACTCTTCACTTGTACTTATTTCTTGACTATGGAAAAGTACTAGAGCAAAGACCTTAGAAAGCCTACAGCAAGTCAGAATAATTTTGATGCTTTGGATTCTTATTTGAAATCTCTGACTAAGGGTAAAGGGGGTGGTGGGTACAACATACAGAGTAAGCAGAAAGGCCAATGTGGGGTTTGGGGAACATTTATTGGTAATTAGCTGTTCTCAAATGCAATGCAGACTGGTCAGTGGAAATCACCCAGGTTCCTTTCAGGCAGTGCAGCTGCGCCAGGTTGTTAAGAAGAACTAGAATGTGGACAAGACTGTTGTCAGGAAAAGCACCAGAACAGAATGCAGAGACATTATAAAGTAAAGCTAATTGCTTTTCCTAACCTTTCTAAACAAGGCTAAGTGAGCCCAGGATAGATAAGCAGGGAAAGCCAGAGCTAAGCAGGGCTCTTATGGTGGTGATGAGAGGTGGCATTTCATGGAGAGGAGAGCTAGCAAAATAGCCACAATGACAGGTATTCAGATCAACAGGTAAGGGAATAACCCTTGCCACAGTGTTTGGTATGGTCTGAAGGGAGCTATGCTTCTCAGGAAAGCAAGATAGAAGCTGGTGTCTCCAGCTTAGATTCCTGCAGCCAAGGACCTAGACAAGGTTCAGTGACATAGACAGGAAGAAAAGCCTGGGTATCCTTTAAGAGAGGGGAATTTGGATGCAACTCAACTGTAAAGTGCAGAGTGAGAAAGCAGAGGAGCATGTAGATTTTCCCCCACCACATCCGCAAAGATAGCAAGCTTGAGTTCACTGAGGCGGGTGGCAACATAAGCACTGGAGAACAGGCTGGCAAAGGCAATCGCAGCCACAGCACAAGCCTTATTTTGATTTCAACTGGGGATGG